TTAGGCATGCTTATGAGTTTCTACGGGGTACAACTGTAGCCTTAGCCATAATATGTTCTTATGTTTAAGTCATGACATGTTACTAGAGGTCGTGTGAGAATGTTTTTAGCTACACACCACTTAATCAACAGACACACACATGCACATTGATTTGCTTCATGTTTTGACTACTGCTATGGCCAGCTGCAAAGCTGGCAACAGAGACGTCTCAGTTGACGTTTCTGTGTAGTATGGGGCTAGCCCAACCGAAGGGATATAATGTATAGGCCTGGTGGGTTCAGGGTCTTTCATCTTACATCTGCCTGTGAGCAGTTTGGAGGTGCAAGATACCTGAGCGTGTAATGTTAATTTTACCTGTGATCCTTTGAATAAATCAGCACTGTTTTGAAGTTACTTGGACTGTCTTGTCTCTCAGAGTTAGCAATGGTAATAAGAACCAAGACCCACATAGTATAAAGTACAAGTGGGGCTGTTGGTAGTTTCAATTAGCTGTAGTGAACATTTCTGCTACAGAGAAACTCATCAGGTGTTGATTTTAGGAAAAACTTTAAGAACTGGTTAATCATCCATCAGTTTTATTTGAGTCCAGGTTATTGATCATACTGTGTACTTTGAGTGCTCTGAAGTTGCCTACTGCCCTCCTGTTGTTCTTCCAGCTTATCTACCCTGTGTTGCCAAAGTATGGTCTGTAAATTAGCCCCACCTGCCACCTAGCCAAGGTTAGAAGAAGGGTTTTCCAGCCACCAGTAGTCATGTCAAACAGCCGTGGAGGAGTCCTGAGCAGCTAAAAGTCTGAACCAGTGGCTGCCAAAGTAAAGAGGTGGCGTCTTTAGCCACCTAGCATGGTCAGCATTTTACCTTTGTGTGATTGGGGGTAACTGGAGCTTTGTGTAATGATAGTGCTTTTTGTGAGATTAGCAGTAACCACAGTATTCTGCTGGACTGACACATTTACCTTTTTTAGGCTAACACTAGCTTAAAACTGGAGACTGCATTAGTACAGTTTGTCCCAACCAGGCATCTGTAGTTTACATTGTTTTTAGGAAACATGATGTGATGGGAGGGGCAACAAGTGGTTGGGAGCGACTTGTTGTTTGTTTTGAGTTTCACTAGAGCATCCAGGCTGAAAAGTGTTTGGTACAACAGCTTTAACATGGTGAACCTGTAGTCTGTGTCTGTATGCATGAGTGTGTGTGTGTGTGTCACAGGCCATTGTGTGATGAGTCTGATTACACATACAGCACCTCTGTGACTGAACCTGCTTTTGCCTGTTCACACTATATGTACAGAATGTGTGTGTGTGACAGATTATTCCAGGAAACTGCTGACAGCCAGCAGGAAGAAGTCTTCCAGGTCTGTAGCTAACTGTCTGCACTGGACATTACTACACAGCCTGAAGACAGAAGGTCTATAAATACATTCTTAACCCTGTAGGCAGGCACTTGTCCTTATTAAAATAACAAACAATCAGGTTATATTTACATTCCCAGTGTGTATTTCAGGCCTAAATCCCCTGTAATTATCCTTTCATGTTCTTTCATGTTTGGGATTTTGGGTTGTTTATCACTTTCTTTGGGCTCAGTATTTGGGCGTGGTCATTAGTGAAATACTGTAGTTGTGCTTTTCTATGGGAGACTTTAGTCTGCTGAGCAGGAAGTCAGTAACGAGGGCAGGAAGAAAAGAACACAAACACTAGTGTCACCAAGCTTTTGTAGACTCCAGGCAAATTGTTAAGATGGGAGATAGGCGGGAAACTGATTTACCAAGAGGGCTGATGTGTAAAAGAAACAGTATAACCACTTAATATTTTTTGTGAGTAAACAATTTTAGGAGGTTGCTTTCAAGGTTAAGGGTTAGTTTTAGTCTAAAGATTGTCCATGAATAAAAAAATTACTGCATCATATCATTGTAAAATACACACTTACAGTTGCATGCCAGAAACCTTTATTATAGAAACATAATTTATTTTGCAAAAGCACTGGTTATATTTTAATATAATACATTTATAAATAGAGTTAATAAAAGCTGATGCTAGGTGTTGCACAGTGACCTGGTGCCACTTTAACTTTTCTAAAAATGTCTTGGTGAAACTTGGCAGAAACCTGGAGGATCTGCCTGAAAGTAGATCAGATAATGATAGCGCCCTCTAATGGAAGAATCATGTCATTCTTTGGTCACATGTGGTCTGTTCTCTGCACATGTGAAATTGAACAAAATGACATTGATCAAAGGGACAGCAGAATAATAAGAGCAGACAACAGATGACATGTTGAAAGCACAGAGCGATGATTTGAAGCCAGAGACCAACTGGAGAACCACTCAGAGGGAACTTTGAATCTGAAACCTGCCTCGATTTCCAAACCAGACAAGGCCTTTTCTGTTCTTTCACAAAGTCCTCTCGCCACTCATGTCCAGACCTGCACCGGGAGGTTCACAGAAAGCGGGAGAGCCAGCATTACTCAGAGTGAAAGGCAAACAGAGAGAGAGAGTGTGTTGCCGATCTCCTGTCAACCCCCCCCCCCTTTCCATCCTGCAGTCCAAAGGGATGGAGAACAATGACTGCATTTTGCTCTTGGGTTTCAAAGTCAAACAAAACTACAAAGTGCTTCAGAGCGGGTGTGGGGAGATGGAGGGTGGAGGGATGTTTGCAAATATGATGGGGAGAGCTGCAAGACTAAAATGCTTTCACAAGTGCAGCATGCACCCAAAAAGCTTTCACTTATAATCAATTAGTTGTTTTAGCTATAAAATGTCAGAAAATTGCACAAATGCCTGTTTTTGGTCTTCAAATCTCTTGCTTCCTCAAACCAAAAATCCAAAGCCCAAAAATGTTCGTTGAATTATCATAAATGTTGAATAATTATTTTTCACATTTGATCAGGCGCAAATGTTGAGCATTTTTTCTCAAAAATATTAAATGAATATAATGTAAACTATAATGAAATGAGTCATTCTCTCTTACAAGTACTTTTACTTTTGGTACTTGAAATGTACAGTATTTTGGTGCTAATACTTTTCTTAACTTTACTTTTACTTAAATAAAGTTTTGAATACCTGACTGCTACTTGTAGCATATAAAATAAAACTATGCCCATATGGTACAAAATGAGAAAAATACTGTGCACTGATAGTACTTCTGCATTACTATGATACCGTAAGAAAAAAGCAAAAATGAGAGGAAAAAAAAACTTTAAAAGTAAGGCTCATTTTCTGCACTAATAATCATCTTGTGTTCCTTTTCACAATCCACTGTAGGGGTTTGAAAGCAGCAAGCCTGATGAAGCACACAGAAACTCTCTAAACCAACATTAAGTTCATACTGTATGTAGAAGTGCAGCAGAGCAATCTTAGGTTCCTCACAGTCCCACAGTGTTACTGTCAAACCCTCTGAGCACCATCAGTGTTCAGTATAGAACCATAAGAGCGTAAACGAGGGGTCTTCATAGCATCAAGCTTTGTTGGCACCAGGCAGAATTGTTTGATCAGTGTGCAGTCCCCAAATGAAGCTTGAAGGCCTCTTCTTCTTTATAATTCTCCAAAAGAAGAAGATGTGGAGGTGATTTTAGACTGTTTTTCTGTTTTACGAGGGCTCTGGCAGTTGGTAGGATTCAGCTGTTTCTTGTTAAAACCTAACCATTAAAGTAGAGGGGGGGTTGGTGAAGTGGGCCTTTACCACGTCAGAGACAGAGCCAGGAGTTCCCCAGGGCGCCGACAGGAGTCCTCTCACATTTGTTTTTCTTTCTCAGCAGACCTTTGTTAACCCAGTGTTGGTCCTGGTACAGTTTTTTGATGACTTTGTGTAAACTTTAGTAGTTATCCCTTTTACTGTACAATCAGTTTTTGTTTGCTGCTTTTTAGATTTGTTTCTCTTGTTTCATGATTTTATTCATAGATCCTTACTGTGTTCATCTTTTGTTCTTGCTCTTTATGTTTCTTTATCTTTGTTTAGCAGTATCACACTTTCTCTATTTATATCTCACATACCTTTTTCAGTTCGTCACATCAAATTCGTTCTTCTTGGTACTAAAATAGCTCATTCTTGCTGTACTGAGACACTGAAACACTAAACCCTGTCGCCTGCAGCTATGAGTATGTGTCAGAGGCCCTAACTCGTAGCATGCCCGGACAGACCCCCTGCTTCACACACTTAATCCAAAACCACACTAAGACAACATTGAAACTGAAGACAAAAACATGCATGCTTGAAAATTCTTGTGTTGTTTAGGGTAACATACATATAGGGACAATTGTGCCACATTTGCACTTATAGTCATTATGCATTCCTGTAAAATTGTCTCATGTAGTCAACAAAAAGTACATGTTTCATCCTGTCCAGGATCTGTTTGGACTGTAACACATTTTATATCTGTAAATGTCACTTTTTTCTTAATTTATATTCCTCATGTGTCATCATTTGAAGTGGTTTCCTCCACTCACATTCACCTGCTTCCTCTCCAAGACGATATTTTAAGGTGTTCATGCAGTTATTTTTTCTCTTGTTTTTCTGCTGCTCTCAGTGATAAGCAGTGCCAGAGGTGGAAGAGTTGAGCGACAGTGTTGTAAGATGACAGGAAACATCAGGCAGCTCCACCCTGATAGAAGTAGACAGAGATGTGCTCTTCCTCTTTGTGTTTTTCTCACTTCTTACTTCAGATTTCGCCACATATTTTTAGAAAATGTAAAGTCAAACACAATCAACAGTTTACAAGATGGTGCTTCATCACCCAAAACCTTCTGTGTTTCTTAAAATGTTGAAAACTGTGCACAGAGATTTGCACACTGGGTGGAGGAGGAGTGAATTAGTTTCTGTTCCTGTTAGTGTTTTTCATATTTTGGATGAAACAAGAACAAATATGCAAATCAGAAATATGTGTGTTTCTTTAAGAAGCTGAAATGAATTGTTTTTGGTATATTTAATGTCACAAACAATGTTCAAGCTTCATCTCTTCTTCTGAGTATTAAAAACAAGTCTGACTGGTGTCTTATATCTCTACCTGCAGCCAGCATGAAGAAAGGCCAGAACAGTTCGAGCTGGACCAGCGAGCGGAGCCTGATGTTCGGGGGGAACCTTCAGAACGTGCTGACTCCATCCTCCACCTCCTCACCCTCCTTCTTCCCCTCCCAGGTGACCTCCTTCGATGGAGTCAGCTTCTCTGAGGGAGACTTGCTGCTTCAGGTAATGTGTTTGGTATAACTGAAGAACTCGTTAGTCTTGTTATGCAGAATATCGGTATTGTAGATTAGGTTAGATTCAACTTTATTGTCATTAACCATGTACAAGTACAAGGCAACGAAATACAGTTCAACATCTAACCAGAAGTGCAATAACAGCAGTGCAAAGTGTGCAGTATCTACAGTATGTACAGACAGTACTAATTTACCAATGATATATACAATTGATATTTACAGTAAGATATGTAGGGTAATGTACAGTATACAACAGTCTATGAATTTAAATTACAAGTAATGGATAATGTACAGTAAGCTTATAAAACACTAGTGCAATGGATGAAATGGAATGAAATAGTGTAGAATAAGAAGATAACAATAAGTTACATGAGTGAACAGTTCAATGGATGTAAATAGTGCAAAGATAAAGATAAATATACAGTATCTGCATATGTACAGCAGTATTCTGTGAGTAGAGTATGTGCAGATTACAGGTAACAGAAGTGAAACGACTAGCAGAGGATGGAGGATAGGACCATATCATCAGTCATTAGTGTCCTTTCATTAGCTGATTCACTAACATACTGTCTTAAAGAGTTAAGTCAGGAAAAACGTTGGTGAATCGTCTCTTACAGACTATAACTGCATGTATTTATTAACACCTGTAACTGCTCCTGTGGACAAACAGACTGCTGTGCAAACATAATGAATGACAATATAATAAAACAGTTGTAATAATAGAAAATATGTCTTCATAGTTATATAGTAAACACATAAATATTCTTACAGCTGCATACAGCTACATTATAGCATCGAATAAGACATTTATTCCAGTTTATACACTGATTAAAAAATAATAGGGCTTAAAGTAAAGTTGCCAAATAAGAAAAGGAAAAATTGCAAATCAAAGTTTTGCCTTTGGTTTTCAGGCACTGAATGGCTTTGTGTTGGTGGTGACGAGTGAAGGTCACGTCTTCTACACATCTCCCACCATCCAGGACTTTCTCGGCTTCCATCAGGTTGGGGCGTGATGAGCTAATGATCAATAATAGTCCAGAACTGAAACAGTTTGGACAACCTTTTTCCTGAACTCTGGTGTTCCTCTTCAAACATCCTTTAAAGGAATAGACTAGTGCATGTTTTATTTCTTTACCTGTTCCATGCTGTCTATGAAGCAGTTGGTTCAGTTGATGTTTATGTGCTATAAAAGTTGGCTCGCAGAGATTTGAATCTGGCACAGAGAACATGTTGTTCTGTTTTATCACACATAGGCACTGCTCTGAAAACCCCAGTGGCAAAACCAAGGACACCCTGATATCCTCTGATAATTAATAGTCTAAAAGCTTCCCATCATGTTCAAGATGTTTTCAGACCTCGAATAAAAAACAATTACAAAACACAAACATGGTAAAAAGATACAAACAATTCTGACTTTCTTAGAAGTGGTGTATTATTTCAAATTTTCTCTAATTTCTGGGGCCATGATGATATTATAGTCACCAAAATCATTGCTGAGATCTGGGGACAAGATGAAATACGTGACAACCAGGCAGGATTATGCAGATGATCTGAACCATTCTTTGGAGGTCAAATTTAACGTGAGCAATTTTATTAATATTCTCTGAGTCCAGAGAAAAACTGTGCAGACAACTACAGTATATATAGTAC